TTTTTTAAATTCCGAACAAATCTTAAGACCACCAATTCAAAAGGTACAGCAATATTAATAAATGCTTATAAATCTATACACCGGGTACAATTTCATAGATATATATATATTATATATATATATATATATAGAGAGAGAGAGAGAGAGAGAGAGAGAGAGAGGGAGAGAGATGGGGGTAAGTCATTTCAGGACTAATACACGGTTCAATTTTATTTCAATAATTCGCTTGTGCAATGCTATATAAAAGACAATTATTATGTATTACTGAGCGATGTTTCGACTGTATAAAGACATAGAATCCTAATACTTATATTCCGTAGAACTGTGACCTGGATCTATCCAGTTCAATACTACTAAATACCATTGATATAATGGGTTGTTTTTAAAAAATAAAACCGATAAAATGGCATTTATATATTTTACACAATATTAGAGTATAGCTGAATTTATATTTCCAGATGAACTGACAACCTTCTTTTTTTTTAATTGATTTTATAAGAATTGTTACACAGGTCGATGAACCCTAAAATTATAGTCTGTATACTTTTACTGACGCACCTTGCTAAAAGTAGTAAAACCTTTAAGTTAAATATCCGAACCCTTTTTAAAAAAAAAAACGTATAAATAAATAAAATAAAATATACTGGTGCACGAACCCTAAAATCTACTTAAAACCAGTACACATGACTGGGGTGTCGTAATACGTAACTTACTAAAAGTTCTACAACATCTAAATTACCTGCCCAACCCTTATCTATTTTTTTTTTATTTTTTGTTTTTGTTTAAATATATATATAAGAAATCCTACAGGTGCATAATCTTCTTATTCTATACTTTTTAAAGGTGCTAAAAGTTGCATCACCTGTAATTTAAGAAATATTCCCCTTTCTTTGTGTACTACAAGAAAGTTATGGCACAATATGTATAATACACGATAACGCTATATTCTACTTCGACGGGTGCTAAAAGCTGTACAACCTTAACGTTAAAAGAATATGCCCCTTCCTTTGTGTACTACAAGAAAGTTATCGTATATAATTGTCAGTATAATATATTATTACACGCGTTAGACCATTAACACATAGGTAACATATAGCGATTCTAATCTTTATACAAGTGAATATAGACTTTATATAATAACATATTATTCCATCATTCCATATCTAACGTAAATTACGGCTAATATTACATATAAACTATTTTAAATTTCAAAGTAAATTTTTAATGCTATTAAATTGCCAGTGATTAGAGTCATAAATTAAATGATAATATTATGAAGTGATGACGTATATCTAAAATAATATTATAATATATTCTATTATGTGCAGATAATGACACGGGTTATTCTGATAAACTCCGTTAAATAAACTGCTGTGGTATATATGATAAGTTATTATTATGACGGGGGTTATACGGATATACCCTGTTAAATAAACTGATATACACTGTGATATATATTATGGTAAAGTTATTATTTTGACGGGAGTTATAGTGTTTTACCCGGTTATACAGTAAAGTTATTATTAGAAACTGCTGTGGTATATATGATAAAGTTATTATTATAAACTGCTGTGGTATATATCATGAACTTATTATAAACTGCTGTGGTATATATCATGAAGTTATTATAAACTGCTGTGGTATATATGATAAAGTTATTATTATAAACTGCTGTGGTATAAGTATACTAATTATTTTGACGTAGGTTTCATTGAGAAATTCTGTAGATGATTGAAATTATACCGAAAATAAACATATACTGCTTCGTGCACGACATTCGTCGCGTGTACTTTATTTGTAATAAATGAGCCTCGTGTCATGATAATTTGGCATACTATTATCCTTTCTATGGAGTAATGTTATTAGTAGATTTAATTTGAACATATGAAAAGTTTACACTCTTAGAAATCGCATGTTGAATACGTATAAAATTGACTTGGCGTAAGAAAACAACACGCAGTCATTTTCGTTACCAATATTTTAAAACAACGATTGATAGATAATATTCTTTCAGCTAACTAAAGTAAAATCCGTGAATTGCATTTTATTAAATTTTTCTATCAGTGTCTATAATATTAACTATACGCCTTTGTTGTTTGGGTTTTTTTTTTACCTGATAAAATTACCTGTATGTTATCTGTTAGTTTCCAATATATACTAATAGACCAAGAAACGCTATATAATCAGTTTAAAACAAATATTCTACCTATGCATGGAGGCAATGTTTGAAATTGGAAATGAAATGCGGTTTTCTTCAACGACTGGGCTAATGAAGACGGGTTTGAAATTGGATTTCTAAGTGTAGATAACTATCTATGACAACAAGGAGTCTTGGTTTAGAATCCAGGTATATATAAGTATAGGTGTATCTACCTGTTGCTACCTGTATATTTAATTGTCCTATATTAAGTGTGTTTAGTACGTGATTCATATATACAATGACACATTTCTACAGACTTCAAAATATGAATTAAAACGTTAGCTCTAGTAGTAACAGACAATTGGGAACGAATGAATAAACGATACAGCACGTATAGATTCCTAGAGTAGATATAATACATGGATACTTGTAGAGCAAAACAAGGACACGACAAACCATACACCATCCTAGAGAAGATATAATTCAGAGATAACTGTACTACAAAACAAGGACACAACAAACCACAGAGCGGATATAATAAGCGATAACTTTACTACAAGCACAGAACAAACAAACAAACAATACCATTAGATACATATTACCACTGTAACTATAATATTATTCCGGGAAAAAATAAAACAAAAATTTCCATTGCAAAATCTTAAAGAAACTAGAACAAAACGTTCCGCAAAGAAATCATAAAGAAAATCCCTAGTACGACACGGTTTGGTATGGATTACTTACGGATTATTCAATTTAAAATGTCGAGATGGAGACGATGTAAGAAATATAAAGATGTTCAGTATTGTATTTGAATATGCGTCTTACTACAAACACACTCACACACGTAACTCTATCAACAACAACCCTTGAATTAAACTCACTTAAGCAGATCACTATAAAAAATAACAACAGCTACCCTTGAAATAAACTTTCTTGTGTTGAATCTACGCTTGTTCACCTCCATCACAATTAAATAAACGTGTTTGCTTTATATTAAATGCAAATTAAGATTTATATTTTTGAGTATATCCATTTCTAAGATTTAAATTTACAAAGAATATACCCACTTCTAAGATTTAAATTTGATTCAAAGACTATATCCATTTACAAAGAGTATAACCATTTTTAAGATTTTAATTTGGTTCAAAGAATGTATCCATTTCTAAGATTTAAATATTATCCAGAGAGTATATCCATTTATAAGATTTAAATTTGATTCGAAGAGTATATCCATTGCAGAGATTTTTATATTTAAAAGGGTATACCCATTTCTAAAATTTATTTTTGACTCAAAGAATATATCCCTGTACATAGGAAACAATTACTCTAAGTTTTATCAAAGCCATGGTGACATATACTGAAACGTTGTTTAGTAAAAAACAGTCAGTATATTCCATAGTATCTCGTGTATTTCTAGTTATTTATACATGTCAATCATATAAAATCTATCTATTTCTAAGATTATCTACTGATGAAACAAACTTTATACATAAACGACCATCACGAACCGACGGAACGGTTTTTCTTCAAATAGTTCGTTATTTATTTCTTAAAATATATTTGTCTTGTTTTAATAATGGAAATGTTTAATATTGGTGTGTTTAATAACGATAAGAGGATACTAGTCGAAACGTTGTGTTTTTAGAATAAAACCAGTGATTATTTCCCATAAATATTGTGTTCTGTTAATGAAATACTATACTGGCTGTTACAGATACATATCTTCTTTGATTGACATTTAGTAATTCAACATATTAACACAAGGTACAATTTTATGGATACACAATTACTGAGTTCAATACTAAGCGACGTTTCGACGAGGATTTATATACAGGTATATGAATAGTAGGCAACATATACAGAATATGCAACAAAAATAACAATCAAATCCAATTAAAACTTAACACCTTTGATTAGAGGACCATTTACAACTAAACCTACACAGCGGAAACTGTTTCAGCGTATACAATATACCAAATAAAATCAAAATGAAATTTTAGAATTATGAATTGAAATGAAAATGAAATGTAATGGGGTTTAACGTCCTACTGTTCTGTTCCGACTGGGCTAATGAAGACGGGTTAGGATTATGGTTTGTTTGTCTACATGTTTATAATTAAATGGGTTGACCTGAAACTTGTTTATCAATTTGAACACTCAGTAATAACTGACATGTAGATATCGGTACCATGATACACACCGATCACAGAAAACCATTGCGTTGTATCGAATTCAGTTTTATATATTGAAATATTTAAATTAAATTGAATTAAGTTAAATTATTTGATACAATATGTTACCTATCCAGGTGATAAATGAATCCAGGTAGAATGATTAAATAGAATGAAACACCTCTATATTTGTTTACTGGTCTTGTTAATTCATCTAGTAAATATTATGCATTCGATTCGTCAAGCGTTGAAATTGGAAATGGAGCAAACTTAATTTTTGTTGGGAATGATTGACTGACAATGAGTTATTCCGCATCAGAATTAAAATATGGGTAATATTTAAATACGGCTATTGTTAGTTGACTGGAACATCGTCATTATTCCGGAATATTTTAAAATGCATGCCCTCAAGGGGAATCATCAAGCGATTAAATGGAATATGGGACAAACACAATTTTTATTTGGAAACATAATAATTATTAGATAATTGACTGACAATGGGTATTTCCGTCTCCGAATTAAATATGACTGTTATAAGATCACTTATAAATCGCCATATTTCAAAATATTTGACATCAAATCTATAATTGAGCCTCGTCAAAGAGATTGTTTAGTTAGCCTTAATAGTATACTGGTTCGGTACACTTATTTTAAACGTTCTTAAAATCATGAAATACTGTACTTACCCCTAACATCGCTGTCGCCATTCTAGTCAAAGTAGTCCGTACAGTAGTTTTCCCACTCAAGTGATTTGTGAACGAATAATGTTCTAATCCTGTACAATATCAACCTTCCATATCACTGTTATATAAACCACGCCCTATACTCCCTCCATTAACGCTAATCAACGCCCATTAAACATCTTAACCAATCAACGTCAAGCGTGAGGTTTGATTGACGGGTTGAACGGTTACGGAGATTTATATCTCCAAAGATTACTGGCTGTGGCCTCTCAGCGGGTTTATGACAAGTTTGGCGATTTTGTCTTCGATAACGTTTTACAGTTTAGTGTTTATACTAACAAACAATTTAATTCGAGATGTGAGAACAAGTGGGAAAAGTTATCTTGAAACACGGATAAGATTTTATCTTATTCTATTGGCTTTTATAATCCACAAAACACCAAATTGTTCAAAAGAAAGATAACAAAAAACAGAAGAAAATTCGTTAAACGTGAATATAGATAAAATCGCCGCAACTTTTCTTTATGTGGGGGTGGCCTTTCTTTTTTTTTTTTTTTTTTTGAATTTATTTTAAAAGGGGTTTTGAATGAAAAATACAATTATCAGACGTTCGTGGGTGAGCTAACGTTAATTAAATAATTATTTTATCAAGAAACTATCCTGCTGTCAGAATTTCACAGCTCCGAGTGTTTTTAATTAAATATAATATATACTGCTGAAATGAAAAGAAAGTGATGATGAGAATTTGTTGTAAATCTGGAACTTGTATTTTCACGTAAACCATTAGGTTGGTCGACTCCATATTAAAAATAAAAGACGGCCCGGGCCCGGCCGGTAAACAGCACAAACATCTGATTTTACATTTCTCAAATGACATGAAATAAAATGAAATGGGGTTTAACGCCCTACTCTTATTCTGCGACTGGACTAATGAAGACGGGCATACACCATAATGTGTGCTATGAGGGAAATTTTGCCCCGACAGCGGCACCACGAGCTGCTCCGATTTTGAATCCCAACTGCCAAGGGTTCTTTTACGTGCACGCCAATGTGTACAGGAGACCGCAGTTGTCCGTCCCATCCGAACGACTATACGTACGTTGTCCCTTCCCAGGCTGTCCCTTCTACACTACTGACAAGGGCGAAGAACGCCAGAAAATCCCGATGAACACGGCACCTCCATATTTTTACGTCCCATCCGAACGACTATGCGTTGTATCATGCTAGGCTCTCCGTGTTCTTAATATTAAAGTCAGAATATAGCAGGTCGTTGATATATTTCAATATTCAAGGGTATTGTCTAATCACTGATCACTTTTACATTTCTGAATTTGTGTTTCGTTTTGTGATGAACTTCATTTCTTTTTTATATTTAAGAAAGTTAAACAAAGGGGGACGAAATTCAGGGAAGGCGGGGCAGGGATGGGGGTCGAGTGGTCTAACGATAGTTAAACATCACCAGGGTGATATTTTGGGGGAACTTGAGTCTGTCGGGATGGTGTGTTCTGCATGATGTGCGTACTATCTTAAAGGCTCAATACCACTCTTGTTGTAACTGAATAATATGTCCCAACCTTTATTCTGGTCAACAAATTGTACTATTTTACATTATTCCAATTAATTGATGATACAAATTTCATCTTAACACACCTAATTTATAAAATTGGAAAAAAATCAACTAAATGATTTGAAAAGCCTGACGTAAAGCTTTTCAAATGTGACTTGGATTTAAAAATATTTTTGAACCCTCTGGACAAGTAAAATAGGATTTAATGGAGAATTTACACAACAGGTAGGACACTAACACATCTAGTACTTAGAATAAGGCCATTTTTTTATTTTCTGGAGCTGTCAAGCCAGCAAGAGTGTTATTGTCCTCTTTTAGAGGCATTTAGTAACTGGATAGAGCAATAAGCTATAACACATACTTATGGAAGAACAATTACTGATTTATTTGGGCGACGTTTCGAAGAGTATTCTCTCATCGTTTTCAAGCAAGTACAGTAACAAATGTTTTATTCCTTTGATCTTGTTGTTGTCTTGCATGGTTTCTGAATTGTTGTTATTGCTTGTCTATATATAATTGCTCTACACATTTGTCGCCCAAATAAATCAGTAATTGTTCTTCCATAAGTATGTGTTATAGTTTATTATCTTAATATCAATTTGAAGTCATTATCTGGAATCCGGATTTCAAAAAAGCAGCGTGAAATATCATCAACAGGAATTAATATTCAAACTGGCATAACACAAAAAATAATTCCAAATTCTTATAAACTGTTTTCACGATTTTCTAATTTTAAAACAAATATCTAGAAATTATAATTTGTGAGAGAGGTTTACTTGTTCGTCTCGTATTGTATATCTTGGCATCCAAAAATAACTGTAACTGCCGGTATTGAATGGCATGTGTATTTTGTTTGGGAGGTTAAAATGCCTACACGCCAGGTCTGTCGTAGATCATATTAAACCGTTTACCCCCCTCCCCTCTCCTCCCCCAGCCAACACCCACACCCCAGCCTTCAAATACCTACATACAATGTAATTCATATTTATAGGTTTTACAGGTCTGTTGTCGCTCATCAGAGAAGTCGAGAATTCAAGACATTATCCGTTTAAAGTCATTAAGTGTCATCTGTGCTAGGAACTGATCTGACGTATGAGAACTAGTGACAGACCCATTTCAACTGTTCAAGGAACTGATCTGACAATGAAAACGGGTGACGGTCAGACCCAATTTTTACTGTTCCACGAACTGATCATACTATGACAACTGGTGACAATCAGACACAATTTTATTCTGCAACTGACATAGTAATATGTTTTAAATTGTGTCAAACGTTTTTGTGCGTGTCTGGTTTACGTCATTTAGAATCAAATGAGTAGAAGTGTTTTGGATCGGGTTCAGATGAAGTAGTCAATTGGGTTGATCGACGTTGTGTTTTTGTTGGGGGTTTTTTCTCGATTAATTTGAATAAAATGGAATTTTACGGCCAAGAGTCTTTCCCAAAATTTTATGCAATACAATATATCTTGGATGTTTCCCAGAAATCAAATGGAAATAAAATTGGGTTATATTTTATATATCTAACTTTTCTGCACCAAGGGTTTATGTTTGGCCATCGAATTTTAATAGCCAGTGGTTCTGTTCTAGTCCGTAAACGAGTAAGCGGATGGTCCACTGTTTTGTTTGTTCTATCCGAAGGACAAGACACTTTTAATTGCCTGGATTTATAGAATTAAAGATAGAACAAACATTGTTCGTTTTTAATTTCGGCATATTTTACTAAATTTAGTTTCTCTTTTTTTAGTTGGTATGCTGATCAAAAATCGGCTACACTTCAAAAACGTATTAATCCACGAACGCCAAATTTTAAATGGATAAGATCTGTAAGTCTAGTTTGTATCGGGTGCCGCGGTGAATATCAGATTTTAAATGTATAAGATCTGTAAGTTTAGTTTGTATCGGGTGCCGCCGTGAATCAGTAAGTAAGGAAGTTCAAACCCATTGGCATTTCATCTTCTTTTGTTTGAATGGTAGGGCCTAGGCCTCTATGCTAATCAGAAAATCGGTTACACCCCAAAAACTTATTATTCCCGAAGATAAGTTTTTAAATTTTATAAGTCTGGTTTGTATCGTGTAATTAAAACTGATGTATTGCATGGAAAAAGATTTAAATCAATGGTGACATTATCTTCAACCTGTATCTTATTATCTCTATACGAGAAACAGATGATGGTTTCAATGGCTGCATGTTAGATTGGGGGGAGAGAAAAATGATGTAAACATATACCTTGCGGCAACTTTCACACATCTACACAACTTCTAACATCGGAAAATAAAAGATGGTTGCCCCTGTTCCAAAGATTTCCTCTCATTCATAGATTAATTACCTGTATTATCTTAGTTTTAATCACCTCGTCTGCTTTGCACGCGCGATAATAGCGCGAGATAAGCCGCGCGTGATGTTTATAACCGTTGATTTGATTGGACAGGTTGAAGGGATCGTCTTTATCTTTATTGTCAAACACTTGTCTTTATAATCATTGATACAATCAAAACAAGTACTAACTAGTTATCTCCCCCTTGGTCGTCTGCTCCTTAAATCCACTTGTACACAGGAAGTCAGTTGAAATTAATTGTTTTAAAGGAGTTTTGAAGTAACGAAGCGAGCGGCGCTAATCAAAAGGAATAATTCTGTGTACAACGTGGGAGTGACGTAACACACAAGAAATTGCAACGTCATTAGGAGCTCGAGACTCTTGGCGTATTGTTTTCTAAATGAATGAATTATGCAATTTCCATAGCAAAATTTTCCGGCGATTTCCTCGAAGGTCCTTGATTGGTATTAAGGGGCTCCCCACGGAGAGGACGTGTGGACAACGATTATTTAAATTCAACTTAAATCAGCAGGTTGGGGAAATTGGTGTTAGTTCGGGCATGTAATACTCGCCTCGCGACTTTTAATAACCTTTCATAATTATACGTGGTATCAACCAAATTACATGACGTAATATTACTATATTTAGTAACGATAAATATGGCCTTCAATTTATCCAATTCATAGCGTAATTATTTCCAGAATGAAATTATGCAGATTAATCGTGTTTAAAGCGTGAAGAGTTTTACCGCTAATCTAACAGTTAAATTTATACCACCTCTTCTGAAATTAGAAATTATGACAGACGTTTCAGAACCTTGAAACGGATGGAGGCGACTCAGGCGACATTAGGGTCTCGATTCAATTAACTAATATTGTCAACTATTTGGTCTCGAGTTGTAGTGGAAACATAGACAATACAGACTGGACTGACCGAGGCGTTCAAATGTTTAGCAAAAGTTAGTCCAGTAAAATATAAAATACGGAATGAAATGGGGTTTAACGTCCTATTTTGCTGCAACGACGGGATTGATAAAGACGGGCATACGCCATGCAGTGTGCTATGAGGGAAATTTTGCCCTGGCAGCGGCACTATGTCCTACTGTTTATTTCCAATTCCAACTGTCAAGGGTTCTTTTACGTGCACGCTTGAAATTTCCTGTGAAACTCGTGTACATCTGATTATTACTAG